TGACTGTGTTATTCTAATTTCAGCTACCTTAGGGCTTAGCAAGCTGTCATTTTTAAAAAGCCAATCAATTTCTCATTTCAAGAAACATGACAAAACACTAAATATATCTATCCAGCGTCTGCTTTGAAACATCTTTTATATCAAAACATGGTTTTTGTTTACTTAAAGTAAATAGAGTAAAATTTTGTAGTTGCAAACCATTGTTCACTAGCCAAAAAATTAATGATAAAGAATGAGGATACCTAAAACCATGAGAAGAAAGCAATACTAGCAACAAACTCAGCACATATCATAATAATAAATAGTAATCAACAGGAAGCCACTTTATTTTCATTCATTCTCTAAAAGACCAGTGGAGAGTTGTTTACCTGAAGCCTTTTAAGAATTTAAATTCACATTCAGGGTTTATCTGCCTAGATAATAGGCTTCCCCAGTGGCTCAGTGGTAAAGAATCTGCCTGCAATGCAGGAGACACAGGAGATGTGGGTTCAGTCCCTGGGTGGGGAAGATCCCCTGGAGCAGGAAATGGCAACCCATTCCAGTATTCTTGCCTGGGAAATCTCATGGACAGAGGAGCCTGGTGGGTCCATAGGGTCACAGAGAGTTGGACACAACTTAGTGACTAAACAACAACAACTACCTAGACAATACATTCAGTAAAGCCAACATCTGAGATCTCCCTCATCATAATTCAGAAATATAACAGAGGGTAGTAAATGCATGCACACTGAGCAATCAGCCTTGTTGAATATTTAGACAACATACACAACATAATGTTAATTTTAGATTATCTACAGAACATATAACCCAATAGAACAATGTACCAAAGAGAGAGCTGTAGAATTTGAAGATTATCATACTGAAGATAGCCCCTCTGGCCATTCAAATTTCCATGATTACCACTTGTCACTTATTTCCTCTCTTACAGACTTGATCATTAATCCCTGTATGTTTTTCACATACTTTTTCAGGTTTGTTCATAAAGTTGTCATTTCTTCACAGATGCTTTTCTTCAAAATTTTCTTCATTAGTCCTATTTTCTTCCCTCTGAATCTCAGTTTCCCGGTTTTTAAATGTGATGATTATACACCTGCTCTCAGAGAGTACAGCTGACCCTTGAACAATGCAAGGATTAGGGCGCCAACCCCATGCAGCAGGTAAAAATTCAAGTATAACTTTACAATTTGCCTTCCATATCCTCCGCTCTACATCCACTGATTCAGCAAACCATGGATTTGGTGGTACTGTAGTAGGTATTTATTGGAAAAAAAAAAATCTGCATGCTGAACCTCCACAGTTCAAAATCATGTTGTTTAAGGGTAGTTACAGGGTTGAACAATATAATGCACATCAGATGCCTCAGTGCATTACTTCACTCACAAGCAGGAATCAAGTTATCAATTCTCTTCATCTACCTTAATTTCTGTTTTATTCTACCTTGTGTGTTTTCCTCTAATTTCTTTGCTTTCATTTTCTTAGGATCACTTTTATCCATTTCCCAAATTTTCATTAGATGTCACTATGATTTAATTAGGTATATGTGTATTTTTAAATCCAAACAGATTTAGAATTGTTATACAGATGTACTGTGAGAACATAGATGTTATGTAATGGTATGTATAATTAATCTAACAAAATATCTCAAAAGCTGTATTAAAGATAAAGAGATATTTGAGACTAATGAAATAATTTAAATTAGCCATATGTGTGTTCAGTTGTTCAGTTGTGTCCAGCTCTTTGTGACCCCATGGACCCACCAGGCTCCTCTGACCATGAGATTTCCCAGGCAAGAATACTGGAGTGGGTTGCCATTTCCTTCTCCAGGGGATCTCACCAACCCAGGGAGCACACCTGGGTCTCCCGCACTGCAGGCGGCTTCTTTACTAACTGAGCCGCCAGGGAAGCACATGTGATAAACATCAGACTGGTAGTTTAAGATGACTGCTACAGAAGCACAGAGGAGGGACTTGTGACTGGGAGTAAGAGGGAAGGTGGCATTCTAGCTGCAAGGTTACAGTGCATGGACATTATCACATGGGTGTCATGAGGAAGAAAGCTTATCCAGAATGAACCCTAGGAGCACAACAGGTTCAATGATACGAATGCACAGGATGTGTTTGGGCAGTGATGAATAATAGAGTTAAAAAAAATAAGTAACCCAGACTGAGAATGTATCTTTAAAATTTTCTTTCTTTCTATGGAGATTTGAAACATTATGTCTAACTTGAATAAATGCATATTTGAAGGATGGTTTCTTCAGCAAACAGAAAAGTCATGTTACTTTTATGAGGAAGAGGGGCAATATCCTATGATGATCTATTACTGTGAATCTAGGCTACCTCTCTGCTTTATTCATTGTGTTTTCACTTACTGGATATTCACCTTTGGGAAATTTCAGTTCTTACCTCTACCTCAATCTTTACATAGTTACTAAATTAATTGTCCTAAGGTACAAATGAATCAAGTAAAGCTTCTGGTCCAAAATCTTATACTTTTTCAGTTTTAATAGGCAATAGAGTAAATCAAATTCATTGACACAGTATACAAAGCTCTTATCCTTCATTCCATTCTTTCCTTTATTTGTAAAACAATTACTGACATTGTTACTCTAGGTGCAGAGGACAAGACCAGGAAGACATGGAAGCTACCCTAAAGGAGTGTGCTACCACACGAAGAGTCAGACATTAAGTGAGAATATAAGAAAAACAGGACAAAGAGACGTATATTAGCTTTATACAGTAAGTAATTTGTAATTAGTAATTTGTATTTTCAACCCATACCTTCCCCCTAAATTCCACATTCAAACAGTCAACATGTACAGAGCACGTCTACCTAAATGTGTAACAAGTATTCAAAATATAACAAAAAGCAAGCTCCTAGTCTCCTCTCTGAACCTTATTCTTCACACATTCTTCTCTATCTCAGTGTTTGATAATCCACCCTTCCAGTGGCTAAGAGCAATAACTTAGGTCTTTGACTCCCCTCTTTCTCACTCTATCTTCAGTCTGTTAGCCTATTCTGTTGGTCCTATTTTCAAAATATACCTAGAATCCGTGTGTGTGTGTGTTTGTGTGTATGTGTGTTAGTCGCTCAGTCGTGTCTGACTTTTTGCAACCCCATGGACTGTAGCCCACCAGGCTCCTCTGTCCATGGGATTCTCCAGGCAAGTATACTGGAGTGGGTTGCCATTTCCTTCTCCAGGGGATTTTCCTGATCCAGGGATCGAACTTGGTCTCCTGCATTGCAGGTGTATGCTTTACCATCTGAGCTAGAATCCAAGTACTTCTGACCAGCTCCACTGACATCCTCATCCAAGCCATTGCCAATTTTCATCATTATCTTTTCAATAGCCTCCTAACTCATCTTCCTTGTTCTTCAGTCTTTTCCCAATACAGCAGCCACAGTGATATTTTAAAAATGTAAATCTGAGGATGTCACTCCTATGTTCAAGATTCTGCAATAACTTTAAAATCCCTCTATCAGGTTTTCCCTAGAAGTCCAGTGGTCAAGACTCTGTGCTTTCATTGCCGAGGATGCAGATTCAATGTCTGGTCAGGGAACTAAGATCACACAAGTCATGCAGTGTGCCCCCATCTGCCCCTCACCCCCATATCATTCTCTCCTAACTTCAACACCAAAAATTCTCGCCCATACTCTTTTTGAGCTATACCAGTCTCCTTCCTAGTCAATTGCTGGAATTTTCTTCCTCTGAAAACATTCATATATCTTGCTGCCAACTACTGCTGGCCCAAACACTATTTAACATTGGAACCCCCAGCAGCAACCAGCACTCCCTAGACCCCTTCCCTGCTGTGTATTTCTCACTTATCACCATACCACTTGACATGCTGGATATTTTACTTATCTACTGTCTATCTTCCGATAAAAAGGTTAACTACCAAGGCAAGACTTTTTTTCTTTCTTCTGTTCAGATACGTCCAAGTGCTTTGAGCAATTCTATTATATAATAGAGGAAAATATCAATTTGCTGAATAAATGAATGTGTATCTGGAGAAGAGAGGGTGAGGCTGGCAATGCTGCTAATAGTTTAGTGTTCCTGAAAAAACAAATGAGGCATGGAGAAAAGGGGATGATGCTAGAGAAGAAAGAAGAGCAACCTAAGGCCTTGGGTGTCATGATAAGAATCTTTAACTGTACGTACTGGTCACTGATAAACTTCTAAAAGGTAGAGGAATGAACAGGTCAGATTTTACACTTCATATGTATGTCATTCTGAAAGCAACGTAAAGAATACTTCTGAATAAAAAATGAGACTCCAATTAGAAAAATGAGGTAAAGACAATGTTGCAATAAGCAACCAAAAAGTAACGGTGGTTTTAACTAACATAAAGAAGAGGAGAGATTCAGTTAAGGGGACAAATTTGAAATATATTAAGAACATAGAATATGGTTTTTGCTGACTAGGCGGGAACCTGGTTTAGATGGACAGATGACTGCACTGCCCACCAAAATAGTGTAGGTGGAGGAAGTATCTCAATGAGGTACGATAAAGTCATGCTCTTGTTGAACATTTTGAGCGTGAGGGTTCTTTAACACATTCAGGTGATGTTTACCTATCAAGCATCTGGAAATATGAAAATGAAGCTTACAGATATTTGAGTAGAAGAGATAAACTTAGAAGTCGTCAATATATAAGGTATGCAAAATAGAACAGCACAAAACAGATGAGATCTCTAGGAGACAGTAGATAAAAACTGAAGAGTGGAAGATACCTCCATAAGGAAAAACAAATTTCAATGGGTAGACAGAAAAAAGAAAAAAAGAGTTAACAACAACAACAAAAAAGCTAGAAAGTAACAAGGAAGCCCAGACATTTGCACAGAAGAGACCAGGAGATATCTGGAATGTATGTAACACAAAGTGAGAGATTTTAAGGATGGAAACCCTTGTGTATGTTTGCATCTAATTACACTTTTCTATGAAACATTATCTATTTGCATACCAAGCACTTTCCAAAATTAAAAATGTTTAAATTGTACCTGTATATTCCACTGAAGGGAAGTAGCATTCAGATGGGCTTTCAGAAAGATGAAGTACAAAATTTTCAAGTAATTCTACTAAAGCTGTAATAAACAAGAGAATAATTAGGATATTAAAGGTCAAGAATCATACATGATACTGTATCTCTAAATCACAGACCAGCAGGTAAAAATCATTAGAACTTCTTCATAGTTGTGCTCTTGAGGGAGGCCAATTCAAAGCATATCATTTTAATATTCACAACAATCTTTCCAATGTAAATTAAATTTTAAATAGCTTCACTGCAAACCTATTCAATGTGAAACTGGAAAAGAACCATCTGTTATCTTTAGATCCTCTAAGGATTACTTCAGAATTTTCTAAATGACTTCAATTCAGAAAAAAAATTATCACAAATTAGGCTATAATATCTTTCCATCATTATTCACACATGCAGAAAAAACATCACATGAACTTCAAGACCAGAATCAATGCATAGCCCACATCCCTTTCAAAAGCATGTTTTATATGTTTTATATACTTGACAAAAGACGTTATCTGTTCAGGGTAAACAGATCAAAGGTAAGACAGGCAGGAGTTGGAAAGAGGGAGGGATGAATAGGCAAAGCAGAGAATTTCTAGGGCAGTGAAACTCTTTTGTAAGACACTACAGTGGTGGATACATGTCATCATTATGACATTTGTCAAAATTCATAGAATGTGAAACATCAAGAGTGAACCCTAATGTAAACTATGATAATGACATGTCAATGTAGTCGCATCAGTTGTAACAAGTATACCACTCTGGTATGAGATGTTGTTAGTTGGGGAGGTTTTAAATGTGTAAGGAGAGACTATGCGAGAACTTTCTGTATTTCCTGCTCGATTTTGCTGTGAATCTAAAACTACTCTAAAAGTTTATTAATTTAAAGAAAACCTGAAAAAAAGATTCCTGTCAAATATAACAGTATATAAATATTTGCATATCCTACCACCAAAATGGATATAACCAAGTGAATTATAATTAATATGCAATTTAGAATTATTTTTGCTGGAAATAAATGTATCTGAAGAATAACTGATATGTTTATAATTAGGGCAAGTAAGTTTTAGTCACTTTTTAAATTTGTGCCTGGTTATATTCAGGATATTGACTGTGACACATATTAACTGAATGAACCCTTTTTCACATCCAAGAGCATTTTAAAGATATAATTCATGAGGAAAAGTTAGAGTTCAACATGTCAGAAATGTAAAGTCAAAAAGGGATAACATGTGCTTTCCAACAACTACAGGTCTAACAAGCTACATCTCATGATACAGCTTAAGCAATATCTCTAGATAAAAACGAATTTTTTTTTTAATTTGTGGAACTCTTCATATTGATTTCAAGCTGAAATATTTAAATAAATGTATGAAAATGCAATAGTTAAGGATCAGAAAGAACACTAGTATTGTAGATTATTTATAAATTGTTTCTATCTTCACACACATAAGCACAAATACTCCCACTTTTGGAGAAATCTTTCAAGTGGTTTATTTTCTATGAATATGTAAATAATAGCCCTTCAGTTATAGCTTTCAACTTCTATGTGTTTGTTTACAAGTCACAAAATGCTGTCTCTTGAGATTATAATTTTTCAGAAATCAGGTGAAGAGAAGAGGTATGTAGCTAGCATGAGGAAAGCAATGAACAGGATCAGGTTTAGCCATCAGACAGACAGACAGAAATATGTCAGTGAAGAGAAAACACACATCTGTGAAGGTGCTAAAACACTAAAGCATTTGAAACTTGAGTCACCAGACTAACTGCAGACTTTACAATGTATACTACTTTCCAGCAAGTAGTGATCCTGAAATATGAAATTATGCTATTAGATCATAATATATTGGAGGCTTATAAAGTAATTTATGCATCCTATATAAAGATGACATCATTGAGTCAACCAGAGAAAGTTATAGTTTCTACTGATTCCAATATATTTGTTTTGCCCAGCAATCCAAACAGCACTATATACTTCCAAATATTTTGAGTGATAAACTACAGTCATGGAACAATGTTAAAAACTAATTCATATGTGGTAGTTAAACCCATAGTTACAATTTATTTGTACCATCTCTCTAACAACAACAACACTGCATAATTACTAACATGGCTATCTCAGTACAACTCACTACATGTCAGTTCACTAAAAATTCCATTATCTGTGACTCCAGGAAATTAATTCACATAAAACATTTCTTAACTTTAAGAGTAAATTAACTCCAGGATATTGCTATTGAGAAAGTAAACTGTTGAATATTGTTTTAGGTGGATTTTTATTTTGAATGACAGACTTGGAGTCTCTATAAAGGATTTTAAATTAAAAACCGTCTCCTTTTAATTATACTCAATCCCTAGGGTTGGACTATGACATCAGTAGACTATAAAACCAAAGTTTATGATATTTATATGATAAAAGAGGACCTGGGTTTTACTGCTGAGGAAAAACCAAAGGCAGATTGTTCAGGGATAAGTGTTTTTTCCCTTGGCATTGCCATCACAACAGCAGCCGGTTCCAAAAAATTCAGTGTTTGTAAATATGCATGGTTTCTCAGGATTCACTCTAATTCTTTTATCTTTTATCACTGCTGGCACATCCTCAGATCACAACAAAATCACACTATGTGCTCAGTTTTTTCCTGATCGTTATCCTGCATACAAACACCAGATGTTTATTCCTTGAACAGTTTCTTATTCAGAATATACCACACCTTTCATGTGTGAAACAAATACATGCATGGAGGGAAAGTAGAGTCTGTGGACTCGTTACCACTGGGTGATGGTGAAAGTCCTGACTCTCTGCTGAGGTCTCCCCTGACACCATCCTGTCCGGGAGAGGCAGGGTGTCTCATAACTGGCACGTGAGAACAGAAGCCCAGGCTGTAGCCAAGTCTTGTTTGCAAGACTTCTACAGTGGCGTTTGGCTGGGTTAAAGTGCTCACTTTCTGCAAGTTTTGTCTTGGTAGGGTGCCTTTATCCTGGTCCTTTGGTTAGAGGGAGCAGGCTCTTATTGCCCAGGAGCCCTCATTTTTTTCCTTGCATCCACTGACATTCTTCATCACTCAGACTAGGATATTTGAGGCAAAAACAAAACCCAAGAAATGTCATCTTTGCTCCTTGGATCCCAAGGTCCCCAGTTTATCTTTTCAATCCAGAGTCAAATATAAAACATATGATGATGTCCACAAATCTCAGATGTACATAGTAGGAGAGAAAAGGGAAAGATCATCTACTCCATCTTTTAAAAGTAGACATCATGTCTTTTCTTTTTCATTATGAATATTTAGACCCCTTACAGGCTGGATGTAAGTTCTGCCATATAAATTAGACCACCAGACACAATTTTTAAAAAATCCTCAGCCCATTTCAAATCATTCTTTATTCTATTATTCACCATTAATACTGAATCTTAGAGAATTATCTGATGTATCAAGTACAGCTGCTTTACAGCCATAAGTAGATATAAGACAGGTCAATTTCAAGTCCATGTAAGTAAGTAAGTGAAGTCGCTCAGTCGTGTCTGACTCTTTGCAACCCCATGGACTGTAGCCTGCCAGGCTCCTCCATCCATGGAATTTTCCAGGCAAGAGTAATAGAGTGGGTTGCCATTTCCTTCTCCAGGGGATCTTTCCAAGCCAGGGATTGAACCCGGGTCTCCCGCATTGCGGGCAGATGTTTTACCATCTGAGCCACCAGGGAAGCCCTGAAGTCTATAGTTACATAGCAATTATGAGTATTCTTTGAGTACCCCAGTACAGCTCAAGTTCAGGATTCAGAAGTGACAGATGAGAAACTGTGCTGAACTGCTCTTCCCTTTGATTAATTATGCCAAGAAGACAGTCTATGAAAAAAGGAGCTTTGGTAACAGAATCCCATGATGGGTAGATACCACTGGAAGAATACCACTAAGGCTAGCCCAATAACGATATATGATGGTGCTCACAGCGTTAAGTGAGTGGAAAAAAACAGAATTGATGCTTTTGTCCCTTTAGGGGCCATTAATGATCCTCCTTTCGGGTCTCAGGCTTTCATCATAGCACCTCTTATGCTTTCTTTGGTGCCTTCATGTCTCTCTTTCTGCTTAGAGCAGTCTGTACTTACCTGTATGTTTCTCATTTTTTTTAAGCTGATTTACTAGCACTTTGATATTATCAGATAACCTAAATTATTAAAGATTTTCTCTTTCCTGTATACTTGAAATCATAACTGGCTGGGATAAAGGAAAGTGTTATAGGAATCCGATCCAGAGATAAATGAGTAGACTTTAATTACTTTGTGTAAGTACATTTATTGACATGGAAAATTCTATACAATATTGTATTGAGACAAATGACAAAAGAAAATAGTATGCTAGGTATTAACTCTTTGGGGCTGAGAATAATTTAATGATAATCTTATCCTGCAGAGATTATAAGGCAAATTTCAGTTTCTTCATTTTGTTTATAATTTGTAATTTTTCTAGATGATCATATATTTCACAAAATAATTTACTTGCTAAAAGGTTAATACTAGAATCAAAGTAGTAACTGAAGATAGGGATGAGAAAGAACAGATTTTAAAAATTTAAGAATAAACTCTGTAAGACATGGTAACCAAATACATGAAAGTCAGAAGATGAAAGAAAGAGGTAAGTCAAGAAGAACTAGGTTGTTCCCTTCAATTACTGTACTAGGTACAGGCTAGTGACTACAAGCAGAAAAAATGCAAGAAGAACATATTTTAATACTTTCCATGGCATCTCATACAGATAAAATCTAAATGGCAGGACAAAATAGGAATACTAGATTAAATGCTCAGAGGAAAATTTTTTTCAAAGTATATCAGTTCAGTTCAGTCGCTCAGTTGTGTCCAACTCTTTGCGACCCCATGAACCACAGCACGCCAGGCCTCCCTCTCCATCACCAACTCTCGGAGTTCACCCAAAGTCATGTCCATTGAGTCAGTGATGCCATCCAACCATCTCATCCTCTGTCGTCCCCTTCTCCTCCTGCCCTCAAATCTTCCCCAGCATCAGTGTCTTTTCCAATGAGTCAGCTCCTCGCATCAGGTGGCCAAAGTATT